CTTTTAGTGTGGTTTCCACGCAATCCTTTATAAATGAGACCCCAGAGCCTGTTGTAGGTACTGTACCTCAACAACAGTCTGTAGGACTGCCCTACAGGCCTGGATAAGACGTCAACACTCAATCCGCTGGAGGGAGCTGACGGACTGTAGACAGGCACGGGAACTGATTGACGGCCCAAATCTTAGGTTTGGGAAAGCTCTCATCTCCCTGTCAAGGAAAACTAAGTACACTGGTTGGAGTCCTAACTGGGCACAACCTGCCCAATCACCACAAAATGGTGATGGGACTCCATGAAAATGGTCTGTGTGATGCCTGTGGCATTGCATTAGAGACCTCTTTGCACTACTTAGACCACTGCCCTGCTCTGAGTGGTCAAAGGAAAAATAATTCTTGGAGACCCCTTTATGGATCTTGAGAAGCTCAGAACTCTGAGTGTTTCTAATCTTTTGTTCTTCATCCGAGGGACGAGAAAGTTTGAATAAAGACCAGTGTCTTTTTGGGGAGAGCAATGGGCCCACTTATGAGGCCTCCACTCTTATGGGTCCTTTATCCATCTCCACTAACCATAACCATAACCATAGTATCCCATAATTCAGGGTCATTAAATGAAAAGACTGATGTAAAGTAACAAAGAAAAAGAAAGATAAGGAAAATGAAAGTCGGAAGATTAGAAAGAAAAAACATATTCAGAGAGAAAACAAAATGAAGTTCCTACAGTTGTCAAAATTTCAAACATTAAAATGTAATTTTTTTAATAGCTGTCCTTTTTTTGTTTTAATTAAGATGTTGAAATTCATCAGAAATAATGCAGAATTTCATTTTTCTTTCACAGGTGAATGCTCAGTGACAGGCGACATGTATTTCCAATCCTTTGATGGCCGCATCTTCACATTCCCTGCAACATGTCAGTATGTACTGGCCAAAAGTCGCAACTCGGGGAAGTTCACCATCACCATCCAGAACGCACCCTGTGGAGCTGTGAGTTTTTCTTTTCTTTTCTTTTCTTTTCTTTTCTTTTCTTTTCTTTTCTTTTCTTTTCTTTTCTTTTCTTTTCTTTTCTTTTCTTTTC